TGGCATGATGGCCGCAATCAGGGCGCGCGTCGGCTTGGTGCCGGGATCGCCCAGGAAGCTCGCCAGGTTGCCGCCTCCGGCGCGCTGGCGCGTCGTCGCGGCCGCAAATTCGGAGCCCAGCCACGGCGTGAACTTCCACGCCTTGGATGTCAGCGGTTTCCCCAGTAGCGCGCGCGCTCCTCGACGCTTGCAGTTGAGCCAACTCTGCATTGCAAGCCGCAGGTGCTACGCGCCAGTTGCTAGCTTCATCGGCCCCGTCTCTTGCGGCAACGCGTGCGCTGTGTTCGCGAGCGGGTCGCATGGGAAACCCGCGATAGTCATGCGGGGGTCGTCCTCGTCCACCTGCTTCAGCACTTTCCGCTGTGACTTACTGCCCCTATCAGGCTGTCTCTTGGTCTCGCAGTAGGGCGTCGCCGCTGCTGAGCTTCCGACGCAAACGCCATGCCACCAGCATGGAGCTCACATATGATCGGCCGCTTTTCCTCTGGGTCCGCCTTGGGCGTCTCCGGGACTTGCTGGCGCCGGCTCAGCTTGTCCTGCAACTCTGCCCCCCGCGCCTCGATGTAGCTCCTCTGCGTTCGTCGCGGGGTGCTTCTGTCGGTCTCCTGCGCCTACGCGGCCCGGATGTCGATCTGGTCCGTCGTAACTGATGGCGCTGTGTTGGTCGTTTCTTTCTTCGGCCAGTCCTTGAGCGAGATTTTCGGGCGCCCCTTCTCTGTCTTGTTGAGCGGCGCCCCGTGCTTGTTGATCGCCTTGAAGTCCGCCTTCCGCTCTTTCGCGCATGGCGCTGCGTCTAGGTCCTCCAGCTGGCGGATGCTTGATTGCATCGGCGTCTTCGATTTCGGCAGCCCCTGGAACCGTGGATTCATATCGGTTCCTGCAAGTCCAGCTGTCACCTCCTGCTCTCCTTCTGCCATCGCCGGGGCGCTGTCATTCGCGCGTCGGAAGCGCGTGGATGGGCCCCTCATCCTCGCAACGACCCTGCCGTCCTACGCATGGCCGTCCAACGCAAGTGAACCCCTGCGATCCCGTGGGCGCGCCGTGCCCGGCACGGCGCGTCCATCTGGAATAAGTCCCTTCCTTATCGCGTAGGCCTCGGTCTCCTCCAGTTCCTCGTAGTCCACCTGCAAACCACATGATGGTGCACGGCCCTCTGTGGGCCTGTAGTCTGTGCCCGTTCTGCGTTCCGTCCACGACCATGTCGGTCGCGCCCCATGAGGTCGGCGCTCGCAGGCGCTCCTTACGACGTTCGTAGTTCCGAGGTACTGTCCCAGGATGCCCGGCACAGGTCGCACGCTCGGTTCCTGGGCCCCTGCGGCGCCGTCTCCATCGCGATGCGCATGAGCTGGCGGATCCGGCGCAGTGCCCAGTCCAGGCGCCAATCCATGGAATCCCTGTAGGCCGCTTCCATGTCCTCAAAGCTGACCCATGGAGCTGCAATATGTGCTGCTCGAAATTTGATATTATGTAGGTTCGATGCTGTGTTATCTTCTTCATGATATTCGGTGCTCGATCTGCTGGGCTATGTCTGTCCTGATCCAGATCCTGGCGCCTGGTCATCACTGCCCTCGGGCTCTCGTGTGCCTCGGTCGTCTCCAAGCGCCGGCGCCGTCCAGGTGTTCGCGATCTGCTCATCGGTGCCGATCCTCGCCTTCGTCAGACTCGCGATCTCCTCCATCGTGGTCTCCATGTTCGCCAGCTGATCATTCGCGATCTGGATGGCAGTCGCGTCCATTGAGCTGTCCGCTATCAGTTGCTCCACTGCCGCTGCCATCTCAAACCCAGCCCGTCGTAGAAAACCCCCATGTCGCCCGTGAAACCCTCGGCAACCACCTCGTCCTCCACGCTGTTGGCTGCTCGATGATCCACCACCTGATGCCCTTGTCCTGTCGCGCTGCGGGTCTCCTTTCCAGTGGCCCTTCTGGTGGCGCGCATTGCACTTCGTGCGCACCTTTATCTCCTTTAACTTCTCTTCGGCTTCCTTGCCGCCCATCTTGATGGATCCTTGCTTGTTGATGTTGGCCTTCCAGCCTCGATTGGGTTGCTTGCAGTTGGGCTCGCGACCTTTCCGCCCAGCCTTCCATCCGAGACGCTGTGCCTCAGTCGCTAGAGTGCCGCACTCCTGCTGGCTGATCTCCTCGGGGTGGAGGTCGCCAATCGCCCCCTCGAACTCGTCGATGTCGGCCGCCAGCGCGTCGCAATCTTCATCGCTCAGAAACCCGTCGTCGCCGCGCGCGCCACTCTCGTATCCGAATAGGCTTTCCCCCTCGTCATCGTCGTAGTCCGCCGGGTATGCCCCAGAACGTCCGAGACCACGTTCGTCTCCGCGCGTTGTGTCCAGCTGGATGAGCATCGCCACCGCCACGTCATCCCATATGTACTCCTTGTCGCACTGCCCGAGAATAGCCAAGTGCCCGGTCATACTGATATTGGCCAACTTTAGTAATAAGTACGTCCGCAGGTCTTCGCTCACCGTCGCGTTTGCTGACAGAGACTTGAGCCTCTCAGACTCCGCCCCCCGCCTCGAGATGTAGCCCTGCACGCGCAGACTCCGATTTGTCGCAAAAGCCTTTGAAGAAATGCTCCTCGAGAGATTGCTGCTCCTGTAGTGGGGCGATCCGCTCGCACGCTTGTCGTGCACTTGCCACCGCCAGCTTCGCTGCAGCAGGTGGGTCTTCACCTACTTAGTCCAACGCTGATTGCGTCGCAATCTCGGCACTTTTTCCTCGTGAGGTTCAACGCCCGCCCATGTAAATAATTCTTGAGCTTGATCGCGTAGAACTTATGCAGCTCCTCTTCGCTCGCATAGTATCCGAAGTTCGCGCGCTTCTCGAACTCCTCGCTGTAGGCTGGGCCGCCGTTGCACTGTACGAAGCCCTCTTTGTCCACGAAGAGGGGTCCGTCGTTGGGCTGCTGTTGCCTGGCCGCCATCTTGTCTGTAGTGCTGATGTTGCCATCTCTGATGATAGTGTCGCCGTCTCTGAAGATGGCGTCGCCGTGTCTGAAGATGGCGTCTCCGTCCACCTCGTAGTAAATATCGTTGTCCCTGCTGCTGCCCGGGTCGTGGTAACGCTTCTCGGCCAGGCTGCCGGCAATGATGTTCAGCGTGATGGTCGCTGAAGGGAGTGCGCAGTGGTAAAGCATGACGAGTCTTGAGCGCCAGCATATATGTGCACGGCCACTCACAATATATGAATTTCGCAACCGTAGAACTGATCCAGCACCGCTACCAGTGTAAATCCAGATCACAATATCCCTCCCGCCAGTACTTGATACAACCAAAATAAGAGATGATATTAAGATGCATCTCCGTACTCAGGCTAAAACATGAGTGGGTGCGTCCACCCTCCCGCCCAGCTTATGAGCCACAACGGCCACTGGCGGAAGGGACAGATGATTCATTACCACCCCAAATCTCACATCCTCGCCTATCTGATTTTCACAGGAAGAGGGGGAGGAGGAGGAGGAGGAGGAGGAGGAGGAGGAGGAGGAGGAGGAAAGGGAGGAGGAGGAGGAGGAGGAGGAGGAGAAGGAGGAGGAGGTAGGAGTAGGAGTAGGAGTAGGAGTAGGAGGAGGAGGAGGAGGAGGAGGAGGAGGAGGAGGAGAGGGAGGAGGAGGAGGAAGAGGAGGAGGAGGAGGAGGAGGGGGGGGGCGTCTTAGAAGGCTCAGAAGACGGCGCGAGGATAATCAGGCATGATGGCAACGACGATTGCAGCATACATGTGGCTCGCCCCCCCTCACCCCCCAAACACACAGTTGGAGGGTCCATATTTTGCCCCCCCCGCGCGCTGCCTCGCACCCAACCCCGTCAACTGTGGGCTGGGGCGGGGGCGGGGGCGATGGACCTGGATGTTTGTCGTCGTATCATATGGGCGCGATGGCTGTGGTCACTTTTTGTCCACCTGCCGAAAGGGGGGGAATCAATCGGGCGCGACGATGGGGGCGAATGGCTCAGGGGAGAGCAATACAGTGGAAGGCCCGACCACAAGAAACCTTCCACAAGAAGCCCAACCCACAGACCCCAAGGCGTCCAGAGATTTGTTGTGTGTGTGGGGGGGCGTCACGCTCTCCGGGGCCAAACCAGGGAAACCCAAGGATACCCAAGGCACCCTGGAGACAAGCAGGGCTTCTTGGCATGGGCCACAACTGCACGTGTATCCAAGGGCGCCGAAGATCCGTGCCTTCGGCGAGGCTCCCCGGCGAATGCATATTGTGTACGCCCCTGGGTCATTCGTCAGTGCCGTCGCCTCCGAATCAAGGAGTGGGGCGAATCAGCTCACGCAGTTGGCTTTCCCAGAGCCCCCTGGCGCTGGATGTGCCAATGCATCGGGGAAAGCAAAGCGCCCAGCGACGTGGCCGATACCAGCTGCACGTGGCAGATCTCGTAAGCCCTCCTTTCCCAATCCCCCCTCCCCCAGACCTCCGACGTCGTGAACATTTGTCACAACGTCGACCCCCGAAGTCGGAGCCCACTTTCATCCTGAATAGTTTCTTGACGGTCCTGGGGCCCAGCAAGGGTCCCAGGAAATCGAAGATGGCTAAAAACCGTCAGGCGTGTTTTCTTTCCGCAGCGGGAGGAGGTGGGGGTTCGTCATACCCAACCCTGGACCCTGCCTGGGCGCCCCCTGTGGTGAGCATCGTTTAACCGATCCCTATCCCCACTGGCGTGGCCTGGGCCCCACTGGCCAATTCACCCCCCTCGATGGGGACATAGGCCGTTCCCTTTGGGTTTCGAGGGGCCTCTCCACGACCGGGAGTGGTGGGATGGTGCTGCTGAGATACCATGGCCCGGTGGCATCGGCGGCGATGTTTGGGGCGAGTATAGCCCAGGGGCGGGCATCACACGCATTCGCCCGGGAGCCTCTTCGGAGACATCGATCATCGGCGCACCCGAATACACGTGTTGCTCTCCCCTGGGCTGCCCGCCCCCATCGCCGACTCTGACATCGGGACTGGCTGGACGATGCTGACGGGGGTCGACCGGCGCCCCGGGGACGCGCCTCGCCCGCCCGCTCGGCGTGGCTCTGCACCAGCTCGATCCCCTGCGGGGGCGGCAGGCGTCCGAGGCCCCAGCAGCAGCCCGCGAGGCGCGCACGGGGCAGGGGGGGCCCCGGCGAGGACGGGCCCAGACCTCCAGCGTGTGGCAGGGGCGTTCGCCAGGGGTGGTGCGGCGCCCAGGAGGGCCCCGTCGCAAAACTTGGCCCGAGGCATGTGCGCGGACCAAGGGGGCGTCTTGAAAGAAATCGAACAATGCGATGGGGACAAGAAGGCACGCAAACGCGGACGAATGGGGCCATGATGTCTGGGGCGATATGTTGACCCCCGCCATGATACCCCCCTCCCTGATCAGCATCCCCCTCTTGGCCGCCCCCGAGTTTTGAAAACTCGATGAGGCAGTTTTCCAGAGTGCTTGCCGCTGCGGACCATCGACGGTCCACAAAAGCACAAGTTGTTGAAGAGCGGCCTGGTACCGCGAAGGCTCCAGCGTTAGGGAAGACGGAGGATCGTCACAACTCTCGGTTTCGCACAATCGATCGGATGGGGCCTGTCTTCACCCACCCTCAATCGTCACCCCCTATTGCTCAATACTCCTGCTCTGCCACGTAGCAGGCCGAGGCGACTGGATCCTCGTCCATCCGATCCTGCCTGTACAATGCAATGCAGCCGACGCTCTTCCCTCTCAACGTGGACGTTTTGGCGTCGATCTTAGAAAAAGCGCGGCAGGCGGAAGGCATGACATGGGGCGCACTTCCCGCGCGAGAAGGCAAACTGCCGCTCAAGCCTCGGCGCGGTGCTCGCTCCCCCAGGAGGGCAGTGCTCCCGCTCGGGCACGGCTGGCGCAGATCTGTTGGCTGCGACTTCGTCGACGCGCGCGCGGACAGAGATGTCACTCTCGTCTCGGCTGCACCGAGGCGCTCCCGCCTCGGCGCACAGTACCTCGCGAAGTTAAAAGCCACTCATGGCGGGGCCGTGCGCAAAGGGGCTACGCGTCGCACTCGTCAGGGCACCGTGCTCGTTTCGCCTGGAGGAGGCAGCGGCAAGGCACCGTGACTGGCCAGAGGCCGACTCGCAGGGGGGCGAAGTGCAGGGGCCGCAGCCATCAGTGGTAGTTATGCTCTGCAGAATCACTCCCCAACGTTATGTCAGTTGCCAGCAACACATGATAACAGTTCTGAACCCCTGTTGCCAACAGAAACGATTGAATATCGTCAGCCCGTCGACGTCGCGGTCGCCCTTGAGATCTGGTACCATTGGTTGTTCGCCCTGGTTCCCATCCAGCTACATTCATTCCTTGAGCACTTGTCAATGCTTAAGTGTGACGTCCTTCGCGGCCACGACCACTTCATCTTCTTGTGGGAGGCCGTCCTGCAGCGGAGCCGTGCGAAAGCGTACGAAATGTTGTCCTTCCGCGGGCTGTGCAGCTTGCGTGTGAAAGTGGCAGTGCTATATGATTCGTCTTCGCCGAGCTGCTTCCTTCCTCTCCCTCGCCATGTTCCTGTATCCTCCTTTCTTTCTCTTGCTTTTCCTTCCCCTCACCCTCCACATTCTGATCCTTTCTCACCCCTGCCACTTCCCCCTCTCTCCTCCTTCTCGCTCCAGTCGAACTTGTACTTTGGGGCCTCGCCACATCCTGTTCAGGCCTCCCTTTTCCCCAGCCTCCTCCCCAGAGGATGAAGAGGAGGCGGGCTCCTCCTCTTTCTTCTTCTCGCCCCCCGCTCCTCGTTCCCCCCTCGTTCCCTTCTCGCCTCATCCTCATGCTTTTCCTCCTCTCCTCGTTTTCTCTTTCTTCTCTCCTCCGTCTCCTCTTCTTCTGTTTCCTCCTTTTCCTCCTCCTCATCCTCCTCCTCTTCCTCTCCATCCTCCCCCTCCTCTTCCTCGTCATCCTCGTCGCTGCCCTCCTCCTCCGCCTCCCCCTCCGATCCTCAGCTGCCCCGCCGCCCCCGCAGGCCTCCTTGATGCCCCTCTTGGTGGGCCGGACGCACAGGGCCTGCGCGGGGCGAGGGCAGACTGCATTCCGGCGAGGCCCGGGCTGGAGCGGCGGCTCGGCACGAACGGAATGGGTACGGAAAGAAGGGGTACGATGCCCAGCAGCAGTTCCTGTTCATTCTGAACAGGACTCGCCGTCCGCGACGCCGCGGCCTGTGTCCATTTGAGACAGGAGGCCG